GAAAAGAGGAGGAGGGAGGAGATATTCCCAAAAAAAACTACAACAGATATAACAATTTTTAACCTATCAGATATAGTTTTAGAAGAGTCTCATAAAAAGGTTTTAAATTATGGTTTTAAATTTGCACCTAGTTGTGACATAGACAAATTTGAAACCTTCTTAGATATTAATAGATTTTTACGAAAATTATGTTTAAAAAAGTTTTTTGATCAAAAACCCATTAAAGATCTGGGAAAAGACAAGATAGAAGAGGCAAATGAATTTAAACACACTACTCTGAAAAATAAATCCAATTTTTTTCCGAGTTATTTAAAATCAGATGCTATGAAAATTTTTGAAAAAGTCTGTACTAGAGAATTAAGGAAAATTGAACCTATTAAAGGGCAACAGAATAATCTAACCAAGAGTGAAAGGAAAGCATTACAAGATTTGAAGAAAAATTCCTCTATTGTCATTAAACCGGCTGATAAGGGAGGGGGGTTGTGATATGGAAAAAGGAACAATACCTTAAAGTGATTTTTGAACAATTACAAGATCAGGAAACATATCTTTTATTACAAAAGAATCCCCTAGAGGATATAAAGAAAAAATTGGGTGAATTTATTAACCAAGGATTAGAACTAGGGATATTAAATAAAAAAAGAATATGATTTTCTCAATGTAAAATTCCCTAGAATTCCGGTTCTATATGTTTTACCGAAGATACATAAGAATGCAGAAAATTCCCCCGGAAGACCAATCGTTTCAGGGATTGGTTCCCTGTTATCACCTTTATCACAGTTTTTAGATCAATTTTTACAAGATCCTGTTAAAAGATGCCCCTCATATCTCAAAGATACTATGTCACTTTTACAAATTTTAAACAGTTTTATATGGGAGGAAGGTCTGATTATGGTTACTTGTGATGTCAGCAGCCTCTATACCATTATAGATCATGGAAGAGGTTGCGAGGCTGCTAGACATTTTTTAAATAATGATACAGATTTGAACCAAGAACAGATTGAGTTTATCATTGGAGGTATCCAATTGATCCTTTTTAATAACTTCTTTTGGTTCGAGAACAATTTTTATTTACAGACTAAGGGAACAGCTATGGGGACCAGATTTGCCCCGAGCTACGCAAATTTATTTATGGCCCATTGGGAGGAATCTGAGATTCTCTCAAGGCCAGAGCTCGGGACAAGTCTGGTCCTCTACAAGAGGTACATAGATGATATTTTTTTAATATGGAGAGGTACGCAAGAATCTTTTTTTTTTTTGTCAATCTGTATTTTATTGAGGCATATTAGATGGGATACAGAATAGAGAGAGGGAAATGTGCATTTAGAATACAGTACAGGGCTCAATAACAGTGGTATCTAACATTTCCTTAATATTTGTACCTCTTTTTTATGTTTTATGGTTTAACGTTGCTTTTGTAAACAGGTTTAGGCAATATGCAATTTAAGTTGCTTAACATTAACTAGTTAAAATAAGTTAAGTGAACAAGTTTTGTATAGGGTGATTGCGCAGGCTCAGTAGTTCCCTGTTGTGTAGAATTAACTCAAATAATAATAACACGCTAACATAATAAGCGATTAACTGCTTGCAAATACTGACGAACCTATATCCCCGGGCACCCCCCACTGCTATCTGTCGTACGTGCAGTGGTATATGAGCAGACAGGCTAACGTCCCGGCTCCAGCAAATACCTAGAACATGGATGCCCTGTGTGAGGTGAGACCAGGAGCTTGCTAGATTTGTCAGGCTATGAGATGTGTCACAAATAGATAGAAACAACACAAGGGTTCCACTTAGTATTAAAACATTGCTAATCAGGTTTATGATGCTACCACTGCTTGGGTGAACAATTATTATAACATGGTAGTATCTTAGCTAGGCATTAGGTTCTACTGCATGTTTTAATATATATATATTGATGTCGCTTTTAAAGTATTTTCTCCAGTTTTGCTCAATTGAGCAGGTGAGGTACACGTTTAGCTATGACAAAACTGCATAAAACGGCAGTTAGAGTGCCATTGGTTACTAGGCTAGGAACATGTATGGACATATATAGTGACATGACATCTATAACCATGGGTTATTTCTGCAGGAGATTCCCCCGTGGGGAATTTGGGAATAATCAGGTTCCGTGTGTATTGGTCCCCGGATGGTAGTTATGGGGGGTTATAGTCCCGGTAACATATAGATAAACAATAGTTTAAACATAAGATAAAGCAAACACTTTGCTCGATGAAAAGTATATGTTGGTTCTGCATATTTTCAAATGGTAGTTATGTCGAGCTAGGTCAACTATACAGGCTAGTGACTTCAAGCTAGAACGTGCCAGGCGGGTGTGCCTGGGAGTAAACCGGTTATTTAAACATTGAGTCTCGCATGCATTGAGACCGTTATGCCACTGGGTCGTGGGCCTGGGCATAAGGGACTGTGCATCTGATTAAGTCAAAATTATAAGCAACTAAATAAACAAAGCCTAGCTAGTTCCACCTCGTTGGGTAACCTGTAAATTAGCTTAGGTTACACTTAGGTGAGTAACTAAGGAGACATACAGTTATTAATACTTTGCTAAGTCTTATGCGGTGAGGCGTAGGCCTGGTGTGACAGTTGCAAAGCTAGCACTAGTTTTGGTACAGGTTATAACACTTGCAATGATTAGTAGGAGTCCCGGGTGATGGGCATTGCAGTTGTCCGCTTGAGAAATCAGCCAACGCCACAGGGTGGGATGGCGGTGCAAGAATCAAGGGCCAGTTCTTCAGGCATTGGGGGGAGGCCCCCTCTAACCTGCATTCGGCTAGGAGGTTGCCCTGCTTTTCTTGCCTGCCCATTCCGACCAGCCAGTCGCTTTATCCTCCTTGTTGCGTTTCTTCTCCTATCACTCCCGGGTGTTTTCGCATATCTTCGGCCCGAGGCCTTAGTGGGGGCCCTTACCACATGTCCATTGACCCCATCAACAGGGTCGTGGGCCCAGGGTTCCTCCGGGTCCCGGTTATCTCCCTGGTGTATGGGTGGTGGTGGAGAGCTACCTCCCGGTGAGCTCCCGGCTCGGAAGAAGAGTGCGGTCGGGTACCGGGTGTGCGGAGTGTTCGCAGCACTCCGTGGTTACGGTTTGGGGCTAGGTGACCTCTCCTGTGGTGGCTTTTGTGCGGAGGACGTGTCCTCCTGCGGCGCCATCTCGAGGCCCTGTGTGGGTTAGGAGCAGTTTGTTTGCGGCTGTGTTGCCTGTGCATCTCGTTGTTCAGGCATTGTGTTTGTTTAATCTGCTTTGCCCTGATCTCCAGTTTCGCCCAAAAGGCCTCAAATATAGCATGTAGTCTGGCCGCGCAATCCGGCACCCCTGTATGGCATTCCGATGTCTTGCACAGTGCGCGTACCGCCGCCATTTTAGGTGTGCCATGTGCTCGGTTGTCCTGGCGTTGCTGCTTGTTACTGCCCCTCCAGTTGCTTAATGTGGACCGAGATGACCCCCGTCGGTCCATAGGGGGGGGGGTAGGAGGTGAGTGCCCAGAGGTATCCACGTCCAGGTCAGTCAGCGCGGGGAGCGGCCGTCTCCCCGTAGCTCGATCTCCGGCAGGCCTCGGGTTATATGGTCGGGTCCCCGGAGGGTTGCATGCTTGGTTTTGGTATCGGGTGAGTCCCCCGGGTGTCCCCGTCATGATAAATGCTCTCCAGTGAGGGATTGTGCCAGATTTTGGGGGGATTACCCCCGAAAAGTGCAGGATTAGGCAGGAGCTGAGATGCAGCACAACTTCTCAGTCTGGGTGCTAGGCTCCGCCCCCACGCAAGAATCTTTAATTAGTTTCTTGAATAACTTGAATATAAATAATTGGAACATCAATCTGACTTGGGAAATCAGCACACAGACCATCAATTTTTTAGATTTGACTATTTATATAGAAGAAAATATGATTAAAAGCAAGACCTTTTTTAAAACTGTAGATGTAAATAGTTTTATTAATTTAAAAAGTTGTCATTTTAGACCTTGGTTGACCAACATACCCAAGGGACAGTTTTTAAGAATTAAACGTAACTGTACAGAGCCTGAACAATATGAAGAACAAACAAAAGGGCTGATTAATCAACTAATAGAAAAAGGATATAATCAAGATTCCCTAATTAATATCAAAAATGAAGTAGGACAGAAATCAAGAACCAATATTTTAAAATACAAGATAAAGGAACAAAAAGAAGAAGATAAGACTGTACCAATTATTTTTAATTACAGTTCTCACAGTAATCAGTTGCAAAAAATCATGAAGAAAAATTGGCATATCTTGGAACAAGATCAGGAAATACATAAATATTTGGGAGTACAACCTAAAGTGATTTTTAGGGGGGCTAAAAATATTAAGCAAGTTTTGACTTCAAGCTTTTTAGACAAAGAAAGAAGCTCCCAAATCACATCAATGTTTAAGAAAGAAAAAGGTTTTTATTACTGTGGAACGTGTAGAGGCTGTACTTTAAGGAAAAATAAACATAAAAAGGTTACCAATTTTATCTCTTTTCAGAATAAGAAAATACACGAAATTAAATCTTTTATAACATGTAACTCAAAGAATGTAATTTACATGATAGTCTGTCCCTGTGGACTACAGTATATTGGGAAGACATCTAGGACATTAAAGATAAGGATTAGGGAGCACATTTATAATATAAATAGGAAATTTACCCTACACAATGTCTCTAAACATTTTTTAGAAGTACATGGAGGAAATATTAGTGGTTTCGAATTCATAGGTATAGAGGCTGTAAAAACTCATTGGAGAGGAGGTGATATAGAAAGCCTCCTTAGTAAAAATGAGATGAAGTGGATTTTTAATATGGAATCATTGTCCCCTTATGGTCTTAATATTGATTTTGAGATTAATTCATGCATATAGCTTTATATGTTATTTTTTTAATTATTGGTCATTTAACAGTATTTTATAAGATTTACATATAAGGTATTCTTTTATTCTGTTATTTAGTTTTTTCTAATGACCTATTTTTCCTTCCCCTTTAATAGGTGAATAGTACCTCCTTTTTTATGATGATTTTATGAATTTTATTAATCATATATGTTTATTGGGTTCTCCTCCCTTTATAGACGAATATATTAAAGTGTATATGAGTGTTAAGAAGTTGTAATTGTTAAGAGACTGGCAATTTCTATGATAAGAGACTTTCTAAAATGGCGCCGAGAATACTTCCGGTTTCGGCGCCGGGAAGACGTCATGACGTAGCCGTTTTGGGCAAAGAATGATGACGCAAATAGTAATGTCATCACGGAACGTAACCGGAAGTCGCCGGATAATGACGAAAGCGGAAGTCATACGGGACGCCAGGGAAAGGGCGCCAGAATTTGAAAATATAAAAAGAAGAGATCTGAGATGAGGAACAGACCACTTGAGAAAGGCTGTGAGTGCCGAAACGCGTCGTGGTTCATTTAAAGGACATTTTATCTGTACTGATTATCATTTTTAACTTTATGTAGTATTTTAATAATAAAAGCAGTTTGGATTTGATTCTGCATCCTGGAGTGATTTTGGAGAGCATTTCCAGTGCGGATCTACCAAGTGTGATACAGGACGTCCACAAATTGAGATTTCTCATCTCGTTACAAGCCCTAAGTCTGAGTCAGCTTTTAAGTGACTCAGTAATATGTGAGTTCAACCAGTTACCTCATATTACTTGTATATATTTTAACAATATTATACTATGTTTTTGTGTTTCATGTTTTGTAGATATTCCAACTCAATCAAGTTTTGGTAATATATCATTCATGCATGTTTTGAGTGCTCTCACCACCATTTTACATTTTGCACTTTATTGATATCTGGTGTGTTAGAGTGGTTCACACTAGGTGATAGTAGCACCTATATTATACTTTGTTCCTTATTACTCTTTATATATTGCACTGACAGAAACACTGACACACAGATACACATACTGACAGATACACACACCTTGGAACATAGATACACACACACACTGGCACAATGATACAGATAATGGTACATACACACAGACACTCACTGACAGATACACTGACGCATACACACACACAGATACACACACTGACAGACACAATGACACACAGATGCACACTGACCGATACACTGACATATAGATATACCCACTGACATACACAGATACACACACAGTGACAGATACACACACCTTGATACACACACTGGCACACAGATAAACACAGTGACACATACACACTAACTCACATACACTGACAAACAAATACACATACTGACAGACACACTCACCTTGGCACACAGATACACACACTGGCAACTACACACAGAGATACACACACTGGCACAATGATAAACACATTGGCACATACACACACAGAGACACACTGACATACACACACATTCAGACACACCTTGACACACTGATACACAAACTCGCACATACACCCACAGATACACACACTGGCAGATACACATTGACATACAGATACACACTGACACAGATAGATACACACACACACACACACACACACACATATGTTTATATTTGCAGTCAACCTCCTGTTCACTTACCTTTTTTTCTGCAGGTCGGTGACTTCCTTCAGTACTGCAGGCTGCTGGCTAAGGCTGATGTGCCAGGTCAGAAGCTGCTCAGTCCCCACTGCGCTCTACTCTCCCTCCAGCCGGCATGCTCTGTCTGGGAGGAAGTGCTGTCACTTTGTCCCAGCATCCCATACAACAGGGGCCCTGTCGTGGTTTAAGGAGACCGCTGTGCCTGACCGGACCCTTGTTTAGCGATACCCATAGGGATGCCCTAAATGCTTGGGCCACCAGATGAGCAAATCGTCATGGAACTCCAATTTTGTTCTCTCGCAGAACACCAATTAGGAAACGCTGATCTATAGTATCAGATATATCCATTCTCCTTTCCCATGATCTAAGAGTTCTATAAATAATAGGTTTACAGCATGGAACAATGTTTCTTATCTTCTTCTTCGTGATTTTCCCTGCTAATGACATGGCATTTAGAATTTATTACTTTCACATTTTATTCTAGATTTTTACTACCTTAGGAGGGTTGTGCCGAAGTTGTATTCACCATAAGCCAAGGTAGGCAGCATCCTACAGATGACTAGTAGCTAGGGATGGCAAATATATATTTCTCATTTTATTTTACTTATGAGGGAGAAGTAGGTATATGGTTATATGTTAGGCTGAAAATCACCACAGAGTCTGGAAACCCTTACGCTGCCATGGTCTTATGCACTAACAAAGACGTTTCTGCTTTCCTTTGTCTGTGTAAATAACTGCTGGGAATACTCAAGAAAGTCACACCATTCAGTATGTAGTACCAAATAAGCATTCAAAGTTTAATGCGTAGTACATCGTAAATATATAAAACACAGTTTGTCTAGGGGTGTATACATCAACGGAAACATTAACCAATCATGGGAGTCTCAGAACCGAAAGTATAACTTTTCATAAAACATTTTGTAATGCTGTTAGTCTCCTGGTCACTGATGCAAGTGACATTATGACAATTAAAAATTGTAGGTGCTAGAAAGAATGCTATTTTTTAAAGTGCAGGATGTTTATAAAAGATAGCGGAAGCTGGTGTCAGGCGCAAGAACAGAAATATATTCTATGTTGAAAAATGCGAGTTTAACCCCTTAAGGACACATGACACGTGTGACATGTCATGATTCCCTTTTATTCCAGAAGTTTGGTTCTTAAGGGGTTAATCCATTCAAAGCATGAGTATCTTGTATTTTAATCAGGCCTACTGACCATTCGGTCTTTCAAGCTATGTATTCAGTAATACTTTAGCTATGTAATAAGAAATACAGAAGTAGATAGCAGGTCATGAGAATGACACCGCCTATAACATAAAATATATAGCTCTGTATGTCTAGGGGAATATTCACTAAGCATTGCAAAGGTAAAACTATTGTATTTTCCAACAGTATATGTTTTGGCTCTCTTGTGCTCTCTCATGCATGTGGAGCAAGCAATGTTGTACTGGGTGTTGGAGAGGGAGGTATGAGAATTAGGGAATTCTATTCTATAAAAACATCTGTCCCTGGTTCTTATACTGTATCACAAACTGTATCTTCATTCATTAGGTCTCCTACATTTTCAGGGTCCTTATATTTTTATTGGCTTGTGCTCCTCTGGTCATTAGACACGTGTAATTAATTTTATTCTGAAATGAATTTCGAAAGAATTCAGCAATTCAGAAACATATGAAATTTAAATTCTTCACCATACGAAACTAATTCAGAACGAATGTTAACATTTTTCATATCAATTCATTTTTACCTATCTACTAAGCCACTAAAGCAGCAAAATTAAAGAAGGGCTTTTAAATTTTAACCTTTTTGAGATATTTAGTAGATAGCTTCCTCAACTGGTTGCTATAGGTACTGTATATGCTGCATGTATATAGAATGTACGTGATCTACACGGTATGTATATAGAATGTACGTGATCTACACGGTATGTATACAGAATGCACGTGATCTACACAGTATGTATACAGAATGTACGTGATCTACACAGTATGTATATAGAATGTACGTGATCTACACGGTATGTATACAGAATGCACGTGATCTACACAGTATGTATACAGAATGTACGTGATCTACACGGTATGTATACAGAATGTACGTGATCTACACATTATGTATACACAATGTACTTAATCTACACAGTATGTATATAGAATGTATGTGATCTACACAGTATACAGAATGCACGTGATCTACACAGTATGTATATAGAATGTACGTGATCTACACGGTATGTATATAGAATGTACGTGATCTACACGGTATGTATACAGAATGTACGTGATCTACACAGTATGTATACAGAATGTACGTGATCTACACAGTATGTATATAGAATGTACGTGATCTACACGGTATGTATACAGAATGCACGTGATCTACACAGTATGTATACAGAATGTACGTGATCTACACGGTATGTATACAGAATGTACGTGATCTACACATTATGTATACACAATGTACTTAATCTACACAGTATGTATATAGAATGTATGTGATCTACACAGTATACAGAATGCACGTGATCTAAACAGTATGTATATAGAATGTACGTGATCTACACGGTATGTATATAGAATGCATGTGATGTACACGGTATGTATTTAGAATGTACGTGATCTACACGGTATGTATATAGAATGCACGTGATCTACATGGTATATATATAGAATGTACGTGATCTACACAGTATGTATATAGAATGTACGTGATCTACACAGTATGTACACAGAATGCACGTGATCTACACAGTATGTATACAGAATGTACGTGATCTACACAGTATGTATATAGAATGTACGTGATCTACACAGTATGTACACAGAATGCACGTGATCTACACAGTATGTATACAGAATGCATGTGATATATCAATTAGGGAATTATCTTCTAGACAACTGAAAGAGGAAATTAAGAATTTTCTTCTTTTTGGCTTTTCAGCTGGTTAGTAGATAGCTGCCTGATTTGGTAATTTTATCTGGGATTGCCTTTATAAGGATACCAGATTATGGATTTGTTTACTAAACATAACAGCTCTTTAATATGGCCTTAATTATTAGCAATCCTGTGTCAGAATATCAAACGATGGGCTGGAAGGTTAAAAAAAATAAATGATATTTTCTAGTCCATAACTCGTCCCCTTCATTATAGCAACCCCATATAAGGAATGGATACCAAATTAGGGAGTATCTACTTAACAAGGCCCTAATTTGGCATCCTTTCGAATAATGGGAATCGTAATAATAACGTCCAAATTTTGTTTTGAATTTTTTTTTCCGGGCGTGACCGAAACAAATCAAAACAAATTTTTCAGCCGAGCACATCTTTACTGGTCATGAACTACACTTTCACTTTTAACTAACTACGGTAATTTCAGTCTGCTGTTATCTTATTTTTCACAATATTTGTATTTGTATAATTAGAAGGTTTACTTCCTCATCTAGATTTTTTTTTTTGCTAAATAAGATATTTGTTATCATCTATGTTAATTATTTCCTTCTAGATGTTTTACCATCATAATTTTTGCTATGAAATGAAACCACATCTTTTGTTTTTGAGCTGAGATAATGACATTGTATGTCGTTACCCAAGGATCGTAGACATCAACTCTCAATGCAAAGGAAGGTGATTGCTGATCTTTATGAGATACCATATTCCTGCCTTAGTTTCTGTCTGTGCCATGTTATCATTTATATTATTTAGCTAGTATTTGTCATGTTTTCTCTTCATTTGTTTTTAGCTAATACCACTGTTCATGATAATGACAACGACATCGCTGATACACAATACCTGAAACCTACCTGCAAACATCCGTTATTGAAAGCCTATCTGATGTCCTAAAGTCTGTTTCTAGTATAATTGATCCTGGTCACAATGTCTTGACTGTTGCA